ATGATAACCTTGAAGTTACTCTGATGTTACCTGTCGGGGTGAGAAGCCCGTTTAGTTTTATTCCTGTATCACAAAGCAGGTCATCACATAGGGTAATGTCTTGTTGCTAAAGCAGCAAGGGACCAAGGATGGGGTCTTTTAGCTACAGGTTTTCTTTATTTGGCTAAAGGACATGTGGGCTGTTGCCAAGGGTGCTGTCCTTGACCTCAGAGCTTCAGATCCCCAAGCAATGCTACAGGCTTGTTTGATGACATGGATGTGCTTGGAATAGCTGACACGGTAGCTTTGTGTAGGAGGTATTTAATCTTTACAATGCTTCCATTCCAGTTTGTGGTTAAGCCGTAGATCTCATAAATCTGTGATCGTAGTTGTTCTGTGCACACTGTAGTCGGAGGGAGAAGGAAGCACTAAGGTGCCCCGGACCCATCGGTTTCAGCAGTCTCAGGTTTGCGGGACTCTTAATTTTCTTTAAGTCTATTTTCTTCAAATATGGGGGTGCTGAACCTTCAATGACAGCTGTGAGCATGCATGTGAAAGGTGAATGTATTTACTGCAACAGATGAAACGGCTGTAACAGCACTTCCCTCTCTTGTTCTGACTTTTAAAGCCTCTGAGAGGCACAGAGCCTGGAAGCAAGTCCCAGGGAAGGTGTCCCGAGGCAGCTGCAAGGATGTCCTTGCTGTGATGCAGGTGATAGAAGAAAATGTTAACTGCTGTGGGTGTAGGTTGTTTTTTGCAAACCACGCTAGGGAACCTCAAACCAGGGCTCAACGTAAATGTGAACAAGTGCATTCTCCGAGGGATTACAAGTAAGCACAGGTAAAAAATTAAGGGCATTAGCAAAAATGCCAAGTAAAGGGAAAGCAAAAACTTGGAAATAGAAAACACAAGCATGTTTTACAGAATGTTTTAGAAGAACTCTTCATCTCTTATTTCTCCTGCCTGGCTGCCTTCTTTTTTCTTCCCTCCTTGCCTTTCATTTCAGTTGAGCTATTGCAATAAGGATTAAATTGTAGGTTTAGCATCTCTGTTTTAAAATGAGTCCCCTACCCTGCTTGTGAAAATGGCAAAGCAGCTTACAGTTGCAGCGGTTCCAGCTACAAGATGCTTACTGTAACGTACAATGGCAAAGAGCTGCCCAAGGACTAGGAGAGGTATTAAAGAACTTTTTCATCATCATGTTTCCAGCTATTAAAAGGCTGTGCAATAGGTAGGTGGAGAGACGGCTTGCTGTCTGGGCTCCGCTTTGCAAGCCCGATATTCGGGCTGGAGACTGAAAGGCTGCTCCTGCCTCCTCGGTTGTGACTGGGGAGTTTCATCCTGGATTTCCACTACGCAGGGGTGGAGGCACTGAGTGTTTTGGAGACAGCGCTCCTGCTTGTGGAGAACACGGAAGGAGAAAGCACGCTGCTGCGAGCACCTCAGGAGGAAAGACATCCATAAGCTGGAGCTTGCTCTGTTTTGGTCTTGTTCTCGGAGCGGGGGGATTTTAGGCATAGAGACCCAAAGGATCTATAGGAACAGCGTAAGTATGGGCTGTTCTGGTGCACTTTCTCAGTTGGCTTACCCTGGGGTAGCAGTAGCATGGGTGGTGTTTGGCTGAGGCTTGAGCATGAACTGAAATCCTGACACTTTAAGTAGGATGGATACATACTATGTTGGAGAAAAGGGATCCAGGGAAATGCTTTTGAACTCTGACTTCGGACTCAAAATTACGTGTACCGTTAAGAAAAGTTGCTGGAGAAATTGCACTCGCTTGTGTTTTGTACAATGTCTTAGGAATTCTTTCATAGGCTCAGTTTTGTTTGGGTGTGCGTATATGTGTACGCAAAAGTATGGACTGTTCTTGGTGAACATAAAATGAACACAGAAATCTTCCCTGAGAAATTGTTCCTCCTGAGAAGAACCCCCCAATAATAAGAAACTGTAAGTAAGCATTTTTTCATGCAAACTGTTGAAGTAGTCTTCCAGAGAATGGGCTGTATCTTAGGGCTATTTATCCTCTACAGCAGCTGAAATTTGCATCAGCCCGGTCAGACCGTGTTCAATGTGCCTTTCATAAACTGTGCTAGCAGAGTTTGGCTTCTTATTGCAAGGAAAGTTTAAAACTTTCCCACATTTGATATGTGGATCTTTTGCTTCTTCAGGTGACAGTCCTTAGTTTTATGTATATAGACGGAAGGCATGGAGGTGTGTTATGGTCTGGTCTGATCAAGTCTGGGATTTGTCTCTCCCTTAATTCAGCAAAGGCTGAGTTTGTTTATCCTGGGTTATACTGCGAAATTACCTGAATTTTTTTTTTCAGGTGTATGTTTATGTATTAGATGTAGTATATTCCTTCTTATAACCTGATCTAGAGGAATCAGGTTTAGTGTTTGCTGCTTGTGGGAAAAATTAGGGAGAAAATTTTCTTGAAGTCAAGGGTGCAATAAGATGACATGTTACTGAGAAAGCTGTCCAGGCTGCCCTGACTTCAGGTGTAACGTTGCAGCTGGGCTTCCCAAACTGAGCTAATAGTTCAACTGTAAAAGTAGATAAAATGGGATTTTCAAATACTTTCCTATCTCTCTCCTTCAGCACCTACATACTACAAAAATGTGGCCATTGGATTTTTATCCTTCCAAGTAATGTCTTCTGAAAATATACGGTCATTTTCTTCCATTTTTTAAGATGTGACCATTACTTGAATCTCCAGGAATAGTATTTCCAAGATGATTTGAATTTTCCTATATTCAGAAAGCTTTCTAGGTTATTCAAGCTGTTAGGTTCCTTGTAGTAAAGCAATTTAGGTTAAATATGCCTTTTGCAAAGGATGTGAATAGCTGAAATTGCAACTGAACTGCAAGGGTAATTGCATGAAAAGAAAGTTAATCTTTGCTTAACTTCTGTAACTTCTGCATTTGCTGCACTGGAAGCTGTCATAACCCCATTTCTCCTGCAGAAATGGATTATTTACTTGTGATAATAGCCATGTAAAATCATTAACATGCTGTCATAAACAGCTGTGTTCGACTGTGTTATAAATGGTGGTGACATAAATAAAATGTCCAACAAGAAGCTATGATTTACAAATAGAACACAGTTACCTTTGGCAGAAGGGAAAGGAACACATGTCTTTAAAATAACTACTTTCATGCATTGTAAATATATCTCTATACTATTACTCATGTTCTATGGCAAAAGTGCCCTGTGCCAGCGTGCAGCTTTTGGGCCTAATTCTGATGTGCTTCCTCCAGAAACTGAAATCAAAGCATGAAGAGGGGCGAAAAACAAATCGGGAGTTGTCTACTCTTCTTGATGTTATTAGACAATACATTTTATTCTAAGTTCTTATGGTGCTATTGTTATTGTGCCGGAAATACTCTACAAGTTGAGGCTTCCAGCTCTTGCTTTCTCCATTGCTGCATTTTATTAATTTTTTGAAGCCACAAGTTTTTTGTTTATATGCTTTGAAGGAAAATCTGGTACCTAGCTACTTTGTGTATGGGCGGAACCAAATACTTGACAATAAAATTAATTTCTATAAAGAAAATGCCAAGTGGCTGTTTATGCATTGTTATACATATTTTCATAGAAAGCTTTGGTTTGAGGTATAAAATAGAAATAATTAATCTTTTTCTTAGGACTAAAAGGCTTTTTGAATCTTTTTATCACATAAGCTTTTGTTTTCATTTGCTCTAACGAGGTAAAAGGATTTGTTTGATGATGAAGAAGAAAAAAAGCCATTTTTGCATTCATAGCAGCTGTTTCAAAATGCTGTTCCCCATGCACTGGAGTGCAGAAGGGCAGCGCTATCGCTGGCCTGGAGTCTGGTGGAGGTCGGGGAGCAGCCTGTCTGTCTGGGAGCCAGAGGGCTGTATCTGAACCTGGAAGCACTCGGAGGTGCCGGGCAGGGTGGGATAGGCAAGCCAGTCATGTGTCAGAAACTTTCATTTTATTATGATCTAGTAGAAACTACTCTGGTAATTTCTCACTCAAGTATAGTCACTGAGACTTGAGAAGACTGTGTTGTCTAAAAGTACAAGTTGTATGTGCTTTGCCCGTTTATAATAATAATTAGAAAATGCTTGATGCAGTAGAGAAAAAGGACCACTTAATGTTGGTTTGAGTTGTGCCCTTTGATGTAACTGCATCCACGTGTTCTTAAGCGTTTTTAATGATTTCTCTACTCTTTAGCAGACTTCATATTGTAGCTCCGCTCTGAGAGCGTCTCCCTCTGCCTTTACAGCCTGATTTATCGCGTAACTACACAAAGTTGACTGGCGTCCTGTTACTGAAGTGACACATAGGAACTTGGCCTCTGCTCTTGCAGCAGGTGGAAATCTCAGGTCTCCAGGGCCGTGGCAGGGATGGTGTGCAGCTTGCAGAGCTGGCACTCAACACCTCCCTGCCTCTTCTCTATACAAAGGACGTGCTGGCGTGGTTTTTCTCTTGCTGCCAGCTGGAGAGCAGTGGTCAGACTAGTTGGTAGTGAGGAGAACGTTCTTCTGGTGAGGTGGAAGAAGATCCACCAGGTTTGAGGTTTTGGCACTGTTTCTGATAGATGGGCAGGCTGCACTCTTGCATGCTTTCCTCCCACTTGTTTGCTAACAGCAAACAAAGCGAGGCCCGATGCTATTTTCATACTGCTTGTCACACTGAAATGCATCTCGGTGCATGCGGCCAGAGTAGGTCCTGTAAGCAATTAAATTCTCCAGATAAACCTCAAGAGGTATGGTGGTTTTATGCTAATCTCCAACTGAGCTGTATATAGTTGTACAGTTTTTTAGCTTTGCTTTATTTCCATGTCTTACATATAAAAGATCTCTTTATCTACAAATATTGTTTTTGTAGTGGTGGGACAAAAATATAATTTATGCTTGGGTTTTTTTGTGTGTTAACAATTTGCAGAGAAACATAGCTTAATTTCTTACAGTATTTGCCAGCCATATCTATTGTGCCTCTGGGGGTTCCCTATATTGAGTTTCTGTATCTAATATAGTATGTTTCTTCCTCCGTAGAAACATATAACCAATATTTACTCTGTGTCTCTTATGGCTTTGCTGTTTCAGGTTCACAGATTAAGACTTTTACATCATTGAAGTTCTTGGTTGAGCCTTCAGATGCTGTCACCATGCGTGGAAGCAACGTGCTGTTGAACTGCATAGCAGAATCAGATCAAGGAGCCCCAGTTATTAAATGGAAGAAAGATGCAGCCTTCTTAAACCTGGCAGTAGATGAAAGGAGGCAGCAGCTGGCCAACGGATCACTCTTGATACAAAACATAGTCCACTCCAGGCACCACAAGCCAGATGAAGGTCTCTACCAGTGTGAAGCATCTCTAGAAGGCATTGGAGCTATCATCAGTCGGACTGCTAAGGTCATGGTAGCAGGTAGGCAGAAACATTCCTACCTTTTGGATTGCTGAAAATACTGTTTGTGAAAAGCTGCTTTTTTTTTTTAAAAATAAGAGCAAAAAATCTACTGTGGCTTTTCTTTTTTTTCACCCTCTTCAAAAGAAATAAAGCTAGATATGACACTTCTGCGACAGTAATTTATTTCTGACAAGGTATTATTCTTGTTTAAATATGTCTAATCACCTCTTTGTTGCTGTGAGTTATTTGCTGCATATTTATTGTCTTCAAAATAGATGAACCTCTGAAGCTGGAAATTAACTGCTTTTCTGATGAATTGAAGATCACAAAAAAAAGCGCCAAACTTCAATAGGGCACTGAATGTACGAATTTTTATGGTTTAGGAACTTTTTCATAGACAAGAACTCATTGTGCAGGTTACTGAATTTGGCAGCCTCTTTGTGTTTCCTTTAAAGCACTTGTGTCGGTAAAGGGCAGAAGGAACAGACGTTTGTTACCAGGCGTCTGAGAACACTTATGGCTTCTCACTGACTTAACAAATACCTTTGTACAAGATGTTTGTCTGAAGTTTTAAAGTGGTCTTTTTGCCTCTTCGTCAGCCTGTAGAAGGATGTAGTGAGTCCTTAATCATCTAATCACTGGGGAAAAAAATATTTGGAAATCCTTCAAATAAAAGGCACAAAGAAACCTCAAATCACTTGGTAACTAGTACCAACTAGAATGTGCTAGAGTTCAGAATAATTTTCTTTATGATCATTATTTAAGAATTTTGCCAGTTCTAAGAGGATGCTTTTTTTATTCTCTCCGTATGTTTCTGTCTAGATGGAGCTACTGTGTGTTGCTGATTGCTCTAACTTAGACCTATTAAGAATGCCCTGGTTGCCTTCCCTTGACAAGGGTTGAGCAGCCATCCACAGGTGCTAACTTAGTAACCTTGGGAAAGGAGGATAAAATATTCTTTTATGCTGCGGAGAAGATTGACACTTGTAGCCTTTAGTGCATAGGTGAGCTATGAGTTTGTTCAGACGCATTGGTTATGTGAAGGAGCAGCTTGTGTTTACATTAAGGAAGAGTTAAAAGGCAGACTGTATCAAAGCTTTCGGTCTTAGCTGGCTATGCTCACACAGCCTGTCAGGGGGAGATGTGCTTTCCTCCAGGTCTCCGGGCATCCAGTCTATGCACTACCTAGTCTTGCTGTCCTGCCACATCTTGAACAACACGAGGATGTAAAATAAAACTGAAGTTCGATCCAGTTCAGGCCAGGAGCTCTACAACTTTTTGCCATCCTGTGTCTTCCTAACCTCTCACCAGTTATACTGGGAGGGAGTCCAGGCAGCTCTCTTCTCAGCTGGTCTTTCCGGTGTCCCTCATGAACTTGGTGCCTTTTCCAGTCTTAAGGTCCCTTGAACTGAAGATCGCTTTCCCTCCTCCAAATCCTTCTCTACCAGCTAGAAGAGGCATGTTTTCTCATGGTACCCAATTAAAACAGGTAATAAGAGTCTCGGCTCTCTTCCAATCTGCCTCCTCCCTGCTACTTTTCTCTCTGAATCTCTGGTCATTTAACCTCACATCCTCAGCAGTGTATGTACTCCTGTGCTATGATTCCTACCCAAAGTGATGGAGAGCCCCACAGATGCAAAGAAATCGGTCATTCTGTTATCAAGCCACCCTCGGAGGGAGCCTGCAGAGCTGCACTTTGCCAAGTAGGGCTTTTTGCCAGTTCAAGCTGTTACTTGGCCTTGATCTTGGTAGTTGGCAACCACTAACTAATAAAATCACTCCAATTATTCTTTTTAAGTGAATGCACATATGTGAGTGTTCCCTGTTGTGCTGTGCCCAGCTCTGTAATTTTGAGCTTTTCATAGGAAAACCTGTGCTTTGCATGGCAGGTCCTGATCTCATGTCCCTGCAGTGATGGTGGGAAGTTTGGAGGGGGAGGACAGGACTTACTCTGTTCAAGAACAATTTGGCTGAAACTGGAAGAATGATAAAGATTTCTTAATTGGAAAGGCAGCGAAAAGGACAAGAGGCAATGCACACAAACTGAAATACTGGAAATTTGTTTAAACATAAGTATTTTTCTGATGTAAGGGTGATCGCACAGTGAAATGGGTTGCCCAGGCATGCTGTGGAGTCTCCATCTTGGAGATATTCAAGACCCAGTTGGACACAACCCAGCACAACATGCTGGTAGCTGCCCCCGCTTTCTGCAGGCCGCTGGACTTGGGTGATCTCTGCAGGGGCCTTCTGACCTTGGTGATTCTGATTTTTTTTTTTTTTTTTTTTTGATTGTATGAAAATGGTTCATATTATAAGGAGGAATGTAAGGTGTATGGCATTTAAAATTGGCAGCCAGTTCTTCAAGCACAATGGTATTTTGCTCTCTGAAGGACACGTATTCCTGAGCAAGCAGAATTTTTGTGGATGTTTTTGTTTTTGAGGGAGTCGCTGTATAATGCTGGCAGAACATCATTGACTTAAGACACTGGCAGATGGAAACGTGTTTTTGGAAAGAGGGCAAAGTAGAAATAAAGGTCTTGCTCTCCAGTATGTTGTGTTAATCATTGCTTGGCAAAGCAGATAAACTTCCCATGTTCAGAAAAGCCTCCTTTTACAGAGATGAGGATTGGGATAGGATAGAGCTATGTTTAGTATTAGAACACTTGAAAACTGAATCCTTCTGATCTGTTGTATGATGTACGAGGTATCGCTGCTAAGCAGACTCTTTCTGGACAGCCTGATGCTCTCGTCCAAGGGAGATGATGATGGTATGTGTGATTGCACTGTCCTGATGAGTGGAAGATTGTGTTCATGTCAACAGGACATATCCTCATTTCACTTAGTCTCCCATTTCTGTGCAAGATTTCATTCTTGCAAGATTTTAAAGGAAGGATCACAAGCTTTAATATTTCAGGCAGGTTTTAGGAAGAGATTCATTCACTGAATTACAATCTAATCTTGGATAGTGTCACTTTTAAACTATAGGTCTGTTCACAGCATTTTAAGTACTTACCGCAGTGTTTGGCAACATAGTATACATCAACATTTATGTGTTTGGAGGTTAAAATTGCCAAACCACTGGTATGCATAAGGGGCATATATCTTTCTCGCAGTAAAGACTCTGAACGTGATTTCACCACGCTTTTTAAAGCATTAACAGTCAATAAAGCAGTCGCCGCTAAAAGGTAACAGTCAACTCCGTGTGGAACAGGCTGCTCAGGGGTACTGAAAGTATATTGCCCTTTTAAAACCCTTCCCCTTACACTTTCATGGCTTAAAGTGCTTTCAATAAAGAAAATGTAGCAAATGAAAACTGTTTTTAATCAGTTGAGAATTTTATGCATGAAGCCTGCCATGTACAGGAAAATACACCGTTTCTAAGAACTTCTCAAGGGTCCTTATGGCCCCGACGTGCTCCAGCTGTAAAAGTGTTCCAGGCTGACATGGAAATGTGAGCACTGGAGAGAAACCAAGAGCTGCTTCCTTCTCCAGCATCTTATTAAAACTCCCAATTTAACAGACTACTGATTATTGGTATTTGTAGTAATTGGTAGGATTTCAGATAGAAACCACACTACTCTGTCTTATGTCTCTATTTATAGACTACTGCAGGATCAGTCCTTCAAAGGTTCTGGCTTTACTGTTAATCTGAAACGTTGGTCTTTCAGAGGACAATAAAAAGCAGAATCCAAGGTTGCTTTATAGGGAAATTCCTGCACTTCAGCATCCAGCCCCTTGGTGAAGAGCAGCTCTCTGACGTGATGAGATTGGAATTTTTTGTGTGTGGTCGTGATGATTTATAACTAGAAAATTATTTATGCTGTGAATTATTTACAATAACTTTTTTCTTGTAAAAAAAATTGAATCAAATAACAGATAAGCTACATCACAGCTCTAGACGCATTTAGACCAATGTCCTGGCTTTCGTAATCACCAATAGTAGATGTCTAGAGACTGCAGGAACAGTGTATATCCATATAGTTCACCTGAATATTCTATCAGTTGTCAGTGTGGGCTGTGTGTCAACGAATATGTTTCTGCTCTCTGTGCAGGGGCGTTGGACTGGATGACCTTTAAAGGTCCCTTCCAACCCAAACCATCCTGTGATTGTATGGTTCTAAATTCATGAGTGTAGCATTTGTACATTTAAGTGCCTTTGAATTAGTTTTTTTTCTTCAAGAAATTGGTCTTCCTTAACCCGTATAGACTTTCAGCATTACATTCCTTGCACTTTTATATTGCTGCTGATTCAGACCTGCCTGAAATCAGAGGTTACTTTGGGGGGAGGAAAAAAAAAACCCCACCCAACAAAACCCCACCTAGCTGGTGTCCCTTTGGTAAGATAACAAAGTTGACTCCATTCTGCTGTTTAAAGATAATAAAAAGCAAATGTGGAGTGTCCCTGGAAGGACTATGGGGAAGTTTAATCTTGCTTGAACCTAAGCAGAATACACACCTTCAGTGTTTCAAATGTACTGTGTAAGTTTGTTGTAGGCTGAAGAGACCATTAAGAACAAGAATAGGTGAGAGACACTTTGTCAAAGAAGTTGAAAATACTTCGTGTCTGATGAAGCCAGTGGAGACGTGCAGCTGGCCAGTGCTGCCCTTTGAGCTCCTGAAAGGCTATTCACGTGGTGTTATGGCGGGTGTCACAAGATGGCACCTTACGTGTAGCCTCACTAGACTTCTCCTTTGTTGCAGAAGGAACTTTCTGGGTTTGGGGAGAAGTGTTGTTCTGGAGGTTAACATCCAGGGAAGAAAAAAGAGGGGACTTTGTAAATTGCTGTTGCAACCACGTTTATTCTGCAACTAAACTGTATGTGTTGAGCAAGTACCTCGGAATAAACAAAAAAGATTTGTCATATTTCTCCTTCAGCTGAAAGTCTGCCCATATGCTCCCAAAAAAATGTCAGCCAAGCAGCAGCTTATTTCTTCAAGAGCTTTAAATGATCTAAAAGATATTTTTAGATGGCGTTTGACACCATCAGTGTGTCCCTCAGCTTTGAACATGAGACTGC